AAATCATTGTACAGTCAAAAATAGAGATGAATTAATTTTTTTTTTAGGTCTATTGCCAAGGTACTAACTTCCTTGTTCCACCGAAAATTGGTCTATAATTATGCCTTCAGCACAGAAGGGACGATTGTCAGTATAATGTATGAAAATTTTTAGAAAAATTTCAAAATAAGTTTGTCTTTTGTGAATTATTTTTGTATAACACATAAAGTCAATATTATTTCACAAGCCCAATATATTGCATGAGAGGGCAAAAAACCCCAGCAGGTACTAAACTATTTCGCTCGTACAATTTTGGCCGCTCAAGTATTTTTTTTTTAATATAATCACTAAACTCTTAAATCACTATACTTTTGGTCATTTTATTAAATATTGCTCTTAGTATCAATAGAATGAGTTCCATGTGCATTCATTCACTATGCCAAATCAAAAGCAATTTCATCCAACGATAGGAGAACAAATTTTATTGACCACTGATCCATTCAACTTGCACTTTTTGGCCACTAAAGGATTTTTCCTTTTCAATCACCAATTTAACTTAGCAAAGTGGCATACTAGTTGCAATTTCATCACTTTTCTCTTAAGATATTTGTTTTTCACCTGATTTTAGATCTTTATCTTGAAAAGTCAAATTTTAAATTTTTTCCATCTAGATATTTAGATTTTTCAATATATAGTACAAAAAATAAATAAAATTTAGAATTTGTAACAGCTGGTTTAATAGATTATGAGTCATAAGTTTTGACAAAATATCTAAATTATTTAGTGAAGTTCTTGTGAATTAATTTTAGAAACCTAAGACTAAATAAAAAATAATAATAGGTCTAAATGACAAATTTTGAATGAAAGATTGCGAACATACTATTTCGATGAGTTGGGTGACTGACTTGAAACAAAAAATAGTTGAATGGTTAAAATATATTATCTATATAGTTCAATGGTTGTTTAAGATTTTAAAGTTATCATCAAATTTGGACGAAATGACTATTAATATACACATTTGTGAGCTGAGTGGCTATTTTAAATCTAAAAATGATTGAGTGACTACAGGTGTACAACCATCAGCCTTAGACTGGGAACCCTTGCCTCCCATCAATTTGTCACAATTGTGGTTTTTTAAAAAAATCCACGTACCCGTCTGTTTCGGTGGTGGTTCTGTTCCCATCAGTCCTCCATAGGTTCAGTTGAGTCTCTCCATAATTTGATTAGGATAAAGTAGAAGTAGGGGTAAGGATGACGATTGAAAAAAAAAAAAAAAAAGATTACAGGTGTACGTGTGGATTAGCTCAGCGGCTGCTAGGATTTTTTCCCCCTTGCATGAAAAGATGAAAACCGATGTGATTTACGTGATCCTTACTTCACATATTGAGCATTTTAAAAGTTGGACAAATCCAGACCATCGACCTTCCCAGATAGCGGCTCAGCCCCGTCTTTACCAACTTTTCGTGCAGATAAACCGCGTGTCCATGCACGTATACGAACACCAATTGGAAAGCGAAACTCGCCATCATTGATTTGAGATTTTAGGGGATGGTTTTATCTGAAAGTGAAAATTGGACCTATTAGTAGGCTTGATTAAGCCACCACTAATTAACATAAGTCACTCCATGGAATTGAATTCAAATTTTAAATTGCATATTTTTCTTCCCGAAAGACAAGTTTCGATGGCCTACATTGACACTAGCAAATTGACTTTTGCAATTGCACTTTAAATTCCAAAGACACCCCGGGGATCTAGAACAAATTAATGTGGCTGGCTCTTTTTTTTGTCGATAAAGAACAAATTTTTTTTAAAAAAAAAAAAAATCTAAACTTCCATAATGTTTTTTGGAATAGAAAATTTTTGATCCTTACTACATGACCTTCATATGGATAACAGCAGGGCAAGTTATCACTCTCAACACTTCCTGATGTGTCTTAAAAATTTTTTTTCTGTAACAATAACCTTTGTATAATTTAAACTATTCTATTTTATAGAGAGAAGGAGCCTAAAGAAGTTAGCAGGTTTACGAATCCGACTAGATCAAAGTAATGCTCTGGCACCTCCTTGAAATTTTTTTAACTATAGGTAGGGTTCGAACCCCCCCTCCAAAATTTACAGCGCAAAGAGAGATTTAATCCCTTTTTTGTGACCATTGAGCCAAAACTCGACTGTTTTGACGTGTCTTAATAAATTATTTGGCTTTGTGTAACGTCAGAAAAAGTTGGTGGCATTCATTGCATTTGCTGTCACTCAGCGAGAGATCATCATCTTCCTTTCTGGTTTCTTTTGGGGCACTATCTTTATCTTTTGTGCATTAGGGAACTGTGGAAATGATACAATATGATGCAGTGGGACGAGAAAGCTGATTTCAGTTTCAATTTGTTTGATTAAAGATGCATGGCAAATTAAATTTGTTGGAGAAATTAAAACAGTTGCCTAAGAGTGACAAAATCCAATGATTTTTCCCTTTTTTTTGGGCTAATTTGTTCAACACAATGAAAAGAAGCTCCACGAAAGGCTATTGTAGACCATGAAATGATGCCACATTTCTTGTCACACGATTTCATTTTAAATTGATTGCTTGGGAGACAAAACTTTACGTGTCCCTTATGTTGGAACTTTTACACATCTACCTGAAGTTTCACGGTCCTTTAGTTAACAACTAAAAGCAAAAAAAAAAAAAAAGTGCCTTCTTTACGTGTTTAATTCGTACAATCTTTTGATAAAAGTAAAGGGTATTTGGTCGAATTAAAGGTAACCGTCCAATTAAGTTGAATTGAGTCAAATGTTTGCGTGTCTAACTTGAATTATAATCATAATGAGAAACATGACAGTTTAACTTGAACTCAGCTCGATTTTAAGATTTCGGACTAAGTCCATAATTGTATGTTAGATGTTGAATCATTTCAAATCCGTTTTAAACTCGTCAATTTTGAGTGAACATGTATGTGAATGTTCAAAAGGGAAACTTAATATTCAAAATTACCGAATTCTCTCCCACCATCTATTTCAGTTGAAGCGAAAAAAAAAAAAACAAAAACAAAGATGTGGGGGACTATATTGCAGGAAGTTTTAAAAAATTTAGAGGAAAAAAACAATTAAAGCTGACATATTTTATTAATTAGGAACCAAAAAAAAAAGGAAATCAAAAAATGGAAAGAGAGTATTCGTTTCAACGAGGTTAAAAAGTTTTATTATAGAATTGAAACCTCGTCATTTTTGCTTCTACACTAATCAAGTGTATTAAAGTGCTTCTAAGGTCGAGCCTAGGGCTGTAAACGAGTCGAGCCGAGTCGAGTTTTGAGCTAATCGAGTCGAGCTTTAACTAAATTTTATCAAGCTCGAGCTCGACGAGCCGGCAATTTTCAAGCTCGAGCTCGAAAAAAATAAAAAATAATTATTTTTTTTAAAAAATAAATAAAATAATATTTTTTTCTTAATAAATAATAAAATATTAAGGATATATACCTAATTTTACTATGAAAATAAAAAATAAAAAAATATATATAATATACGTAATTTCATTATTAAATAAAAATAAATAATATATATATACTCAAACTCGCGAGCCTAACGAGCTTAATATTCTGAACTCGAGTTTGACTCAAGCCGGCTCGATCTCGATTAATATCGAGTTCGACTCGAGCGGCTCGCGAGCGGCTCGATTCGTTTGCAGTCCTAATTGAGACTTTAAAAATTAGTGGTTTTGATTTTTAAATCTCCTACTTTCTTTTCATTTCTTAAATCCCATCCCTTGCGTACTAAATATTTTTTTCAAAAAAGATACTAATGTGCTGTATAAATTCATTCTTTCTTGATCAATTTCATGTTGCTTTTTGATGCTTGTCTAATTTTAGTAACTTTCTTCTAGTATGTGGTAACTTTCCAAATCAGCACACAAGTGTTTGCACACGTAAACTTGATATCAAGATTGACTGTCATTATTATGTCCCTACATTTTCTAGTTTCTACTTTATCATCATTCTTGGCCACTTAAGCATCCTATATGATTTTGGTTTTAGGAAAAAAAAAAAAGAATACTTTTCCTTATACTTCTCGGTTTTCCTAATTCCAAATTGCTGTAATTCTTAAAAGGTCAAAATATAACTATTACTCGACCACTGACTTTTGATCCAGTGGTTAGAGAGAGTCTCGTAGAAATTTTCTCATGCACAAGGTCTGAAGCTTGAAAAAAAAAAATCTAAAATTCAGTTGGACTTCCCCATGTCCTATAATGTAAAAATAAAAGTAGGCGTAAAATATTGTCATTAGACAAAAAAAAAAATCATATAACTTTCTCTTTCGTCACTTTGATCCCTTGTAAAATTTTGTAGATAACATGTATCAAACTGTTCAAAATTCGAATAAGGAGAGCAAATTTATAATTGTTTAGACGACTGCCACTAACAACAACAAATTCTAGAAAGTTGGATTTTTTGGAAATAGTGCAAAACATTTGAGACAAGGCAGTAGTCTATTTGTCCAACTGTTTATGCGTACATGGAGCCCCAGCAAAAAAAAAAAAGATTAAAAGCCCAAGAAAAGTATACTGAAAATCTTCGAACATAATATTTAGGGTAAAATACAAAAAAACTCTTTGTGGTAAACCTAATGTACAGAAAAATTTTCCGTAGTTTCAAAATATATAACACGATACCCCGTACTTTGAACTAAATTGTAAAGATGACAGTATCCGTTAAACTTAACGGAAATGATTGGAGGGTTGAATGAAGACTATAAATGTCCTTAATCAGTCGTTGGAATTGATATTCATAAATTAGCAGTAACTGTATCAATAATTGAAGAATTAGGGGTTCTGAATTTAAATTTCCTTTTCCCCCTTCAAATCTATATTTGGTCCACCACGGCAGCCTTTCAACCCAACTAATTATCAACTCTACTTTCTTAAATTATACTCCTATCTCTCCTATAAATACACAAGAATGAGAAGATCCAATTATTTGACCTTGTCTTTCAAAACAAAGTTCTAATTAGAAGAAAATTGTCATCACATAGAAATCTTAATACTGCTTACTTCTACCATGCGAGATAGCAGAATAATCCTTCCTCCTGGTTTTCATTTCCATCCAACCGATGAAGAACTTATTGGTTACTTCCTCCACCGAAAGGTCACCAATTTACCATGCAATCCTAGCATCATCCCTGAGCTGGATCTTTGTTCAACTGATCCATGGGAGCTCAATGGTAGGAAATCTCAAATTTTTTTTTTTCTCTAGCTAAAATTCTAGTAGTTTCATGCAGAACTTTGTTTATGATTTTATCTATTAAAGTTGATTAATCGTCTTGTTTGTGGGATTAAAAGAGAAAGCTTTGATGAGCCAAAATCAATGGTATTTCTTCAGCCAAGTGATCCAAGGGCGAGCTACTGAAAAAGGGCACTGGGAAGAACTAGACATGGATGAAGATATAGTCACAGGTGCTGGCAAAAAATTGGGAATCAAGAAATATTGGGTGTTCTGCATTGATCAAGTTCAGAAAAGGATCCAGACTAATTGGGTGATGGAGGAATATCATTTGTTCAAAAGGCATGTCAAAAAAGGGAGGGATGGACAGAAAGTAAGCAAGTTCAATTATGTTTCATATGTCCTCTCCTTTCTCTCTCAAATTTTAGGATGTTTGTTGTCTGAGTTTCTTCAGAAAAATCCACTGTACTTTTGCTATAAAAAGGTCATTGACAATATTTACTAAAAGTGGTGTATCTAAGATATTCTCCATCCAATTATTAAATCAAAGGCATCAAAATATTGGTAGGCTTCTTGCCAAAAGAATTCTAAAAAAATCAACATATCGATAGGAGTTTCTCCAAACCAGCACGATTAGGAGAATTTATATATCTTTTAGATTAATGTGGTCTGTAGATGATGATTCTATTATCTTCAGGAAAATTAGATGTGGTATCAACCTTAAAAGGCGTTTTTTCTAATTTTTTTTTTCCCAAGCAAGGGAATTTAAGAAATGGAGAGGGACAAAAGGGGTTTAGAATCCAGGAATTGATCTAAATTCTGAGACTTCAACCTTAAAAAATGCATTCTTATGTATTAAGCAAAAATATTAGGCACCCCAAAGCTTAAACTATTATTTTTGTAACTTTGCTCAGTGCCTAAGTTAGTAGGGACAATGAATAAACGGTATAGGCTTGTTCTTGTTTCCTGTAGATTTCTCAAAAGGTGATTATGGAAAGAGATTACAGGAAAAACCTACTTAGTTGAGTCTGATTTTTTTTGGGCCCGTCTTGGTTGAAAGTTATGTAATATTGTTAGAATAAATCTTATATACACTGACAGTGTATACACTATCACCGTTTGATTTATGACATGTACGCAAAAGTTGAATTTCAAACTTAAATTTTGCATAGTTATCACTCATCCAATCCTGACAGTGTATACAGTGTCAGTGTAAGAAAATTAATCCATACTGTTAATGAAATTTTTTTTAAGTATAAGTGAAAGTATTTGAATTCGGAACCTCTTATTTGCACTTTCTCTCCTCTAACCACCCAACACATCACCTCCCTTATTGCTAATGGGATTTTATGTGACGTTTAATCTGCAAACAACAATTCGAGATGAAGCAAGGAGCCTGCACTAGTACCATTGAGAATTGAATACAATTTGAAATCAATTGTACATCATCATTATTGAAAAACACAAAAAAGAATAATGAGTTTGATTTCTTCCTCCTTGGACTCCCGCTAGACTTTCGACCTAGGCAGCACAATTGAAGGTCTAGCTAGGTTATGAATTTCTTCCTATGTTGTTTTCTGATCTTTTGACTTTGTATTGAAAATAGAATTAATTCCTTAAGCTTATAACTTGCTTCAGTTACCACTTTCCACCATTTCTGTTTAGGATCTCGGTGAATGGGTGCTCTGTCGAGTTCACCATGCAAACGCAGATTCTCAAGGTATTTACAGTGTCCAAGCAGGCAATGATGAAGAAGTTGAGCTCTCACTTTTGGACGAGGTATTTCTCTCAATGGAGGATAATGATGATGCAATAAGCTTTCCCAAACTGCAGTAGATATAGAATTTATGAGGCGACTAGTAAATCATATACATATATATACATATACGTGTAAATATGTATGTATGTATTTGTGTGTGTATATACCTTTCTTTTCTTTCCTCATCCTGGACTACTTTCCTTAAAAAACAGTTTCTATCATGCAATTCTACAAACCAAAAAACATCTACAGGAAGAAATTAAGACATAAGCAGACAAATGTTTACCTTTGGAGCAGACTTAGCCACATTCAAACCATAGTCTATAAAGTATTGAAAATTTTTCCAACAAAGAATTGCCTCCCATAGTTAGCTTCGCATTCAGTTCTTGACCTGCTAGACTTGATTTACCATGAATGACAATTACACGATTTTCAAGTAAGTCATCTGTCAAGAAACATGGACTGTGCCTAATTGAATATTGCCTATCTGCCCGTACCACAAAGTTCAAGCTAGTTTCATATCATTTGACCAAGCTAGTTTCGAAATTAGTTGGCCATGCTAAAATCCAAAGCGATAAAAATTCTAAAATCAAAATGAATGGCATCTAAACAAGAAAGTTGAAGAAACTTCTCAATTTTGCAGCTCAAAACTCGAACGCCTCAAGAATACTTGACCCAATATCCAGTGCTTTATCTCAAGAATACTCGACCTCAAATGTCTCAAGTCATTAACTCGAAAAAATCTTGAACAGGTCAACATGATGCCCAATTCTTTTTTATCCCAATTCCTTGCTCTTTTTTGCTACAAGGGAAACAAAATCAGACAATTCAAATTCCAGACCTAAACTCTATATATACGGATTAATTTTCTATGCACTGTTAATATAAAAAAAATCTTTAAACAGGTGGTTACAATTTTTTTTTTTCAATATTACATCTGTATCAATAAGCCTGGCTGTGGTGACGTGCTTACCAAGCGTAAGGGAGGAGGCCTTCACCGCTTGAGCCGCATGCGGGGGTGAATTTGTCGCTTTGCTTCTTCATTTCCTTGAAGTGTTTCGCCAATCCAAACCGGACTTGCAAGACTAGACTTGCAATAGACGATGAAGGCTAGACTTGCAGGAGTGCTATCTTTTTTATCCATTTGGATTTTGGATTCTTTATCTACCAACTAGATAAGAGAACAACTCAAGTTCTCCATTGATACCAAGTGTTAAGGTCTCATTTGAGGAAACAAATTTCATTTCTTTATTTTGGACATTAAAGAGAGGGAAATGTCTATTTCAGCCTTGGTATCCAAATTCAAAGGCTTAATAGTTCCTTACTATTTAGGGGTTAATTGGTAACAATGATTTAATTATTTTCATTTGTTCCTTTTGTTTGGTTTTTAATTAGTCAGAAAGGTCAATTGAATCCTTTTATGAAAACTAGCTCTTTAAATAGTTGCTAACTATTTAGGGCTGTTTTTGGTACATTTCAAATTATTTCTTTTATAATTTCCTGGTCAAATGCAAATAGTTGTGGACTATTTACGGACTCCTTTGATCACATGGGTTATTTTTGAATTATTGATTGGAATTAAAATATTGTTGTGTCATGCCAGTTAGAACTGGTTGCTCTGTCATGTAAGTTAGTCAACACCACCTAATGGTCTTATTAGTCAATGAAGTGAAGTTCCTTTCCCTTTCTTTCCGTCAGATAGGTAGCTAGAACTTTCTTCTCCTTTCTAATTGTCCTTCCTGCAAAATCTTCACTTTTCTACCATTTCTTCCAACAACTAATTGTCTTTATTTTTTATTGCAGCCTAGAAAATCCTCGACATGCACGTGAAGTTTTCTTTTGCCCGAAAATTCAGCTCAGTTAAATTTTTCTTCCCCCAAAATCTATCATCCTACAAAATCTTCAGTTTTCTACCAATCCTCCAACAACTAATTGTACTTTCTTTCGATTGCCACCGAAAAAATCCTCCACATGCATCTGAAGTTTTCTTTTATCCCGGAAATCGGCTCATTGAAATTTCTTTTCCCCCAAAATCTGCTCACTTTAGGGATTTAGGAATGACTGTTGTACCGAGTTATCATCTATGGTGCAGCTTCCAAAACCTACTATTGCCAGCCTTTATATACTTCTGTTTCCGAGTTTTGCCAGCATTCAGCCGAGCAAAGAAAAACATAGGTACGCTTCTATATTCTCTCCTCCTATTTTGAACTGCAATTTTTTTTTTAATGTTCCTACCTTCTGTTTATATTGTCTTCCGTTAATTAAAGACTGTTATGTGTTTGATGTTATGCATAAAAGAATATAATTATGATGATAATTCTTCGGATTAACTTATCTTTGCTTTTTCTTCTGTTTTTTAATTTCAAGGGTTGCCCGACTTTTAAGAGGTACCCTACTGTGAAGGCTGAAGTTGGGTGAAAGAGTCCAAATATCTGCGGATCCCCAAGAATGTAGTGGATGGAATACAAGCAGCATAACGCAACACATGCATTAGCAAGGTTAGCTGTGTATTTCCTAGCAAAATGGGAGTTAATGAACATTGACATGTTGGCTCTAGAAGTGAAGTGTGATTATTTAAAATTTAAAACATATGTGTGGATGATCAACATTTGACCAACCATGTCGATATGTAGCGTCGTGTACTCGGTGATAGGGTATCATTTGTTAGTAATTTTATTATTAATTTCCCCTTTTATCCCTGCCCAATATTGTGTTAATTGTTGATATCTACTTATATTTGGTATCTGGACTTAATTTCAGGAATGAAGCAGAAAACTACCAAAAAGGAGGGACTTTATGGAGAAAATGGAGACTTCTAAGGACTTCAATCCTTGGGCCCTTGAATTGGTGGGGGACCACAAAGCTAGTGAAAGATATTTAGTCATTTGGGCTCTTCAAAGAAAGCAACGTAGAGAGACTTGGAACAAGAAGTAATTTGAAGGCTTTGTCCACATGTGTGGGGACCACCTAGATAGCTTTTAGTGATCTTTCTTTTGGTTCTTTAAAAGGGGACAACGTACAGAAGCAAAGCACGGCTTTAGTTTTACCTTTTTAGTTTAGTTCTAGTTTTCTTTCTTTTGATTTGCCTCTGATACACGCCAGGTGTTCGACAATATTCCCCAACGGGAAAAACATCTTTTATTCCTTGCTTTCTAGTAAAAAAACCGCAATGCCTTTGCAACCCATTAATTCGTGTGGTGATTTAACTATGCGGCGTGGCTAAGTCTTTCGTCTAGTCAAGGGTCAACTCGACGGCGCAGTCCCGAAAAATCTGTGAGATCTAATTAGTTTTCACGCGTACCATAATTTATTAATATTTGCACGTTATCTGCTTGAATTTTCATGAGATTATTTTATTAATTGGATGTCAAGGGCCTGATGTTCAATGTGATTTATTAATCTCGTGCCAATTTAGTCAATTAAATCCGTAATTGTTTGATTGATTAATATTAGTGGCAACTGGTGTGTTTACACATTAGCGGAACGTGCAATCTAATTTAAATAACCCTCGTAGCGTGTTATTGATTAGGGTTAGGTTTTTCTAGTTATTAATACAATTGAAAAATTAATTCCTGCGGTCGTACCTAGGAATATTTTCTGGTTAGGGGTGATCAATGGTCGTACCTTGGTTATCAATAATTTAAGAAAAAATTGGTTGTTAGAATTCATCGGCGGCTTTAACTAGTCTATTAAGAAATTAAGAGAACCTCCCTTGCATCAATGATCGGATAAATGGACTGCGTCTGAATAGTCGCATCCTTGGCTAGAATTTATTTATCCTTGATTTAATTCCTGCTATATTTGTGCTAGTTAATTATTCATTTTTAGTTAAATTGTTTAAGTGTTGTTAATTTCATTCTGGTGAAATTTTCCCTTACCAATTGAAATTTAAAGGAGGCAAATATCCCCAATCCCTGAGGAGATGACCCTACTTGCCACTGTCTACTATTCACTAATTTTTGCCAACTAATTAATTCTGGTATATCGGATTCAGCAAACTCTTCGGGAACAGGGTGAATCAAGTAACCCATTGCACACCTAGAGTTCCTGCTCCAGTACCTAGGATTAATTATTGACTGCTTTTAGTGGTATTTAGGTTTTTATTATTATTATTGCACAGGTTCGACGCCCTGTTAATTTTTGGCGCCGTTGCCGGGGACTGGCGTTATTATTTGTTTCTTTTTAAATTCATTTTTTTGTTCTAATTTTCTGATTTTTTTTTCTAGTGTATACCTCGGTCTTCTCGTACAGGTGATTTGATTTTTGACCCTGAAATATAGAAGACCGTGCGTAGAACGAGAAAGAAAACCAGACAGCTCAGAGAGGAGTACTCCAGTGCGGCATCTCAGAGACCTAAGCCAGAAGTTGAACCAACAGATTCGTTTGGTGACACTTCAAGTGGCTCTGACCAGGAGGAAGGAACCATGGCTAATGCACGAACATTAAGGGAGTTGGCTGCTCCTAACTTAAATCAACAGCCTTTGTGCATTACTTTCCCAAATTTAAATGATAGCACTCCATTTGAATTAAAATCTGGCCTGATTCATCTTTTACCTTCTTTACATGGTTTACCAGGTGAGGAGCCGTATAAGCATCTGTAGGAGTTTGATGTTGTGTGCAATAGTATGAAACCTCCGGGAATCACAAAAGAGCAAATAAAAATGCGGGCATTCCCTTTCTCATTGAAAGACTCTGCAAAGGACTGGCTGCACTACCTGCCACCAGGTAGCATTACCACGTGGGACTCGTTGAAGAAAAAATTTCTAGATAAATATTTTCCTGCGTCTACGGCTGCGAGTCTGAGGAAAGAAATTTGCGGGATCAAGCAGCACCCAGAGGAGTCGCTTTATGAGTACTGGGAGCGATTCAAGAAATTGTGTAACAAGTGCCCCCAGCACCAGATAAGTGAACAGTTGCTCATACAATATTTTTATGAGGGACTCCTTTTCAGAGACAGGAGCATAATCGATACTGCAAGTGGGGGGCACTGGTGAACAAAACCCCTCGGGAAGCAAGGGAGTTAATAGAGGGGATGACAGAGAATTCACAACAATTCGGTACGAGGGAGGATGTCCCAATACGCA